TGTTACCTAATATCTTCAAATGAAGTGTAAAAAAATGACTGAAAAAGACATCTTAAAGTTTAATTTGATTAATAATAAGGTAGTATCGTCCTTTTGATTAATAAAAATCTCTATAAACAAGAACAAAAATTTTACCCGCTTTTTGTTGTAAACATTAGCTGAAAAATACTCTGTATCTAAGTTTATCATTCAAATATTACATTTTAGAGGTTTAATCAAGAATTGTGCAATCAATATTTGCATATATGTCAATAAATGAGCTGATAATTCTTCAGTAATTATTCAACAGATGTCACCAGAAGCAAGGAATAAGAATATGAACAGTAGCATTAATTCATTGATTTTATGATTGAAAATGAAAATGAAAAAAATGACGAAAACTTGATAAGTATAACAATATGATGATCAATGATATCATTCTGATACACCTGCTTTCATTATATTTGGTTATTGGTTTAAGTATGTACATAATAATTGATTGTCAAACAAAGACCAAATAAATGTGTTTTAAATACCAGTATAAAGTCTGTCTGTTTATGGTCTTGAAATGTTTGGAATAAATGTTTTCAAGATCCCGTAATTTAGTTAGTACATCATACAGCCCCATATATACTTAACATACTTAACGACTGCAAAAGATGTGAATATGATATTTTTGGTCTGTACAGTTGTAGTCAACTATGCATACTAAAAAACGTTTTCCTAAATCTTTGTGTTAGTTTCTTGTTCATATTTTTTAAAAGTTGATAAAGCACAACATCAAGTGTTATTTCCTAATTCGCTACGCTCAAACGTAAATAAATTATTTATCCCATAATAAAGGAATCGAAGGAAGAAAGAACAACAAATACATAAATTCACATTTAGGATTTGTTATCTGCATTGCCGTTTATCGAATTCAAAAACAAAGAACGGGTGCAAAGAAACACTTTATAATATTACAAAACTGTTCAATGTTAACATAATATCAATCAATAATATGCATTTCATATTTGATTTCAAATTTACAATATCAGATGCCCAGACTCTTTGTAACTGATAATCGTTTGTTTAAATCATCTTTGACATAACCGTCCTTTGCTCTGTCACTACGCCACCGGCCATGTCTTTTGAAAAGTCTATCAGAAATTCCTAAATTGGCCGCCGCTGTGGCTCCCCCCGATCTTAAACTATGTAATCCAAAATGAGATTTATCTAATCCAATTGAAGAAAACATATCCAGAATGATCTCCCTTGATCTCGTATAAGATAAAGAAGAGTCTGTGCATCTTAACTTATAACACTGTTTAGATTTACAGTAAGAGAGTGAACGAAATATAAACTCATTTGAATCATCGTTAATTTGAGCACATTTGAGATATAATGTAAGCAATGATACTGGACATGTTCTATTACCAGTTTTTGCTATAACACTCCAGTTGCCATCTCTATAAATGTCAGTTTTACTCTTTTCAATGAAAATTGCTATATGATCGTTATGAAAAGTAATATCAGAACGTCTTATAGAAGTTAATTCAGAAAATCTAAAGAATCCTGCATATCCAAGTAAACACATTGTAATACTTCTTAACCTACACAAATCATTTGCATCGTTGCTATACATAGACACTAATTTATGTAACATTTCCGGTGTAATTGGTTCTTTTTTAGAGACTGCATGTCCAAGAATCCTGTGAGCTGCCTCCCGAACTGACTTAGTTAAATTTGAATGACATGGGTTAATAGAACATCCGGCTAAATCATGAGCCCATTTAACTCCGTAAAAGGCATCGTCAACACTAGACGCTGAATTACATTTTTGAATGATAGAAATCCAATACAATGAAAAATCGGTGTCGAAAGCTGGTAAAGAGTTTAGTTTGTAATTCGACGCCCACTGACACCAAGCATTGAACGATCGTTGGTACTTTTTGCTAGTATTGACAGCTCGAGACTTTAAAATAACGTTCGGAAGACTGGCAGCAAACTCTGGATTCTTGTACTTGTCCAAATGACTATTCAACTTTGAAGCTATCAAATCTGTAAAACGTAACAAGAAAAAAAAATAATTATAAAAGTAATTCTTACGATATAATAATGTAATCATATAGTTTCAAACAATATGAACAATCAAAATACAACTAAATATAAAAGAAAAGCTGAAAATAATTGAAAACAGAGTCCATAAGAAATAAACCGTTCATCACGCTTTTTTCAAATCGATTCGTTATTCGTAAAAAAGATTAGAAAATATTACAATTTGCCTTCACAGCGGAAAATCAACCACAGTCAAACCGTTATTATGACCACTTAAATTCAGGAAGTAAAAAAGAAAATTAAACCTATCAAATAATAATGTCGCACATCGACGCTTTCTACTGCCTATCGACTGGCGTACTAAAAATTTATAAAATTTAATCTCGCCAATCGGCGCTTGCCACTGCCCAACGGCTGGCATACCACACAAAGTTTTAATTTAAAAATCTCGCCAATCGGCGCTTGCCACTGCCAAACGGCTGGCGTACCACATAATTTTTAATTTAATAAATCTCGCCAATCGGCGCTTGCCACTGCCAAATGGCTGGCGTACCACATAATTTCTAATTTAATAAATCTCGCCAATCGGCGCTTGCCACTGCCAAACAGCTGGCGTACCACATAATTTCTAATTTAATAAATCTCGCCAATCGGCGCTTGTCACTGCCAAATGGCTGGCGTACCACATTATTTCTAATTTAATAAATCTCGCCAATCGGCGCTTGCCACTGCCCAACGGCTGGCGTACCACACAATTCTAATTTATTGAATTTCGTCACCGTTTTTGAAAAATAAACGAACTAGCTAAACATATAACAAAACATAAAAAATATAAGAGCGGTCATTTTTCACGTGTTACACTGTGATATGATTTCACAAAAAAGATTCAACAACCTATTAAATAAAAAAGCTTTAAACATAGCTTTCAATATTTAAACAGAACAATCTAATCGTATAGCTAAAACTTTACTGTTGAAACTTTCAGATCCAAAAATAGTTTGTTTATTTAAGTATTGTACAAAAATGTCTTGTCTTGTGGAAAAACTCAAAATATCAAGAATGTATATTTCGGGTATACTGCTATTACCAAACAACATTGGCCAGAACGGTGCAGATGGCCAATGAGGTACAATTAAAACTCCCCGTGCTTGGCAAAGCACCAAATGATTGATAGCTTTAGGCACAAACGTAACAGGGGGAACCAGCCAGTTATTTTCCCCTGACCAATCAACTGAAAATGCATTGACTTGTTCTGTTCCCGGAACCCAGAACAAAGAATTAAATCTTTTAACTTTACAATTGTAATGATTGGCAAATCGATCTATCGAAAAAGGCCCCCACATATCATCCAAAACATTGAAAAATTCTGTAGTAACGCCCCAATCATCAACATCAAAAAAGTTACTTATTTGATCTGCAAACTGATTTTGCGCCCTAGGAACCCAGTCTATATGTAAACGTATACCTTTTTTAATACAAAAATCAAAAATGTTAACAGCGAGGGAATGTAACTTTGGTTTCATGCTCCCTCCGTTAATAATTTTTACACAATTTTGATTGTCGGTGCACCATCGGACTGATTTACCAGAAATAAACAATACAAAACTTTGTAGAGCAAAATATATAGCAGACAACTCCCGCCATGTTGAACTCTCAGTTTTTTCATACTCGGACCAATTTCTGTAACAAATGCATTTATCAGAGTTTAAGATATAAGCCCCACATGCTACGCTGCTGGCATCGGAAAAGATATTTATAGTAAATGTATGTTCAATAAAAAGGAACTTGATAGGATTGTTTTTAAACTGGTCTCTCCAGAATAACAACTCCTGTACACATCCGTCTACAAAAGAGACATTGAAAACAGTATCCCAACTTAATCCATTTAAAATGGTACGGTGTAGATTTTTAGTCATTAGTTTGCAAACTTCCCCTAAAATAGGCATCATAGACATAACTTTCCCTGTAAAACGTTCTAACTCTCTAGCAGACGAAAAAGGTAAATTATTCAAAATAGTACTCAGGTGTGAATTTACATTTGAAAAACGTTTTCTGAAACACTCATATGATTCTCAGATAAATTCCATACAAATCCTAACCATTCTAATTTCTTGACGGGAATGAATATCGACTTATCATAATTCAGTGCAAACCCTGCATTTTTTAAGACGTTTTCGACAAAGCTTGCATCTTTAGACGACGAATGAAATGATTTATTCACACCCCACCCATCGTCCAAAAATACAACCAAACGAATGCCATTTTCCCGTGCATGTTTAACTATGCACCTTAAACACTTAGTGAAAATAAAAGGCGCGGATGTTAACCCAAATGGCAATACGGTGAAAACAAAATACTTGTGGATACCGTTATAATTCCAAGAAAAACCTAAAAATGTCTGCTGAGAAGTACAAATATCGATATGATGATACGCTGACGTAATATCAAATTTGTACATAAAACCATCTTTAAGAAGAAAATCAAATGCTACTTTCCAATCCTCAAACTTAAAATGTTCTTTCCAAACATAATTATTTAAGTTACTTAGATCTAAAATTAACCTTTCTTTCCCAGAACTGTTAACGGAAACAGACAACGGACTAACAATGCAAGGCAAAAAAGGTACTTCTAAAACCGATCCCGACCTAAGTAAATCTGTAATAGCCCCAGTAACAAATTCAGCGTGTACTAGAGCAGATTTGTTATTTTTCATAAACGAACATTTCGGAGTATTATAAAAAGGAATTTTGTACCCATTCTTTATGACATCCAAAATAAAATCAGGAGCTTTAATTGTCTCCTCCCAGAAATGATAATGTTTTAGTAAACTTCCCTTGACAAAAGAATTATTAGACTTACATATGTTGTTATTATAATTAAATGTTTTCTGATACTCGAAATAATGTTCATGCATATAGAAATTCACGTCTATGAAAACAGAATATTCTGAACAGTTGAATAAATCTACAAAATCATACTCATCTTTAACATTTTGAATTTTGGACTGTGTCTGAGTCTTGAGGCTTGAACCAGTTTTTGGGAGCTGCCGATTGTGAACCTGGCTGAGATCCGCTGAAGCCTGAGAAAAACCGCTGGTAGGGTAATTGACTTCCGTTGACCTTGGGACATTCAGCCCGGAAGTGTCCCCATCCGCCACATGCGAAACACTGACTGGACCGTCCTGCTTGTCGAAAGGAACGAAAAGGCCTGACCTTGGTTTGAGCACCAAAAGAAGAAGTAGGAGTATAACCCCCAAAAACGTATGGGTTACTCGGCGTAGACACTGGTAACGTTCTTTTCCTCGCTTTTTGTTTAGAGAGCGCACGACTTTCAGCGCGTCGTAGCCTCTTCTCGTCCTCGCTGTCACTGGCCAACTCGTCAGACTCATACTCGCGCACCGTTTCCCAACCGCCAGAACTTTTGTCAGCAATTTTGATAAGTTTGTTGCGTTTACAAACTTTCTTTTTGATATCATCTATCAGCTCTAGAGATTTTCCTTGTTCTCCCTGTTCTATGAGTTCTGCAGCAGCATCCAAATTATCATAGACGTCCTTATTAAATAAGAACTGCTTCTTATTCCCTTTGTACTTGAGATCTGGCGTACACGTGCTTTCCTTGAACTTTTTGAAGGTCGTCGTTGAAGCTGCTTGTACTTCCTGTCGAAAATCTCTCTTAAACGATTTGAATTTATTGTCAAAATACGTGGTGATAGAATCAAACAATTCCGAGTTCGAATCTCGTCTGCCGCTGAATGTGGCTGAATTACTCTCTCGTGGGCAGTCGTCCATTAAATCTTCGTTAGTAGCCATTAAAATTCAGTGTACGATATAGTACAATAAACGTGTGTAGCAATGCAGAAAACTCGAATGATATACACGTCTAACCGACTTTATTATATATTACTGACGCACGAGAAAATCGTGCGTATCATATTCAATGATTTTCAATACAGTAAAACTTCGATTACTTTAACCTAGGATAAATATATTTCTGTATTTTTACTGAAATCTAATGAGTGGAACGATAAAAATATTAATGGTGATTTAATCTTCATATATTGTAATCTGGTTTCTTAAAGCAGTCACAAAAATTGTGATTGATAATCTGTACAGTGCTACCTATCTGAGATATTGAATAAAAATGTGCGTTTGTTACCTTTCAGGCAATGTGTAATTATTTAACACATTTAGTTTTGTGTGATGTTTAATATGTTAAATTCAAATCGTACGGTGTCTTTTTCTTTATATTACAAACAAATTATTCGGAAAGGCCTTCAAAATTAAAACAAGTAAAATTGGTAATACTTTTGAGTCAAAGTATGATTTCTCTGACAGATTCCTAATGTAGGTTATATTCAAAGGAGACACAGAAGGACATCTACAATGTAGACGTAAAACGTTAATTAATGCGTCTGTTGCAAAGTATGTTTCTGCACAATGTTAAAACACTAAAGCGTGTCTTTGACGAGACGATATTCTGTTTTCAGCTGCACGTGTAATTACTACTTTTATCTTAACAAAGAATTGATTGTCTTACAGCGACAAAACAGATGCAGTTTAAAGCCTAAAGCTAAGAAAACTGTCTTTTGTTGGTCGTAACAATCTTTAGATCATGTAATAAAATAAAGGAATACATTATAACATCATTACAAATACTCCTCAAGCATGGCATAGATGTTAGAAATGCAAGCATTTTGGGCTGTATAAATACCTCTTCAATGGTGTTTTTTTAATTTTTGCGTTATTACTCTATTAGTTTAAGATAAGAGCGATTTCGTTGTTGTTGTTTGTTTTTCAAATAAGATAATTGTCCAATTATCCTGAATTAATGTTTATAGAACTTTGACAATTTGTCTTTTTATCGCTGTAGCCACAGGTCTGTATTACTTAAACTAATAGCTATCCATGTGATCTTGTCCTCCTAATTTATTATTTTACTTATTAAAATGCATTGGTATTATGGATTAGAATTATCAAAATGTTTTTAAGTATTTCTTATTAAGACCTGGAATATTGATGTCAGTAAAATCGTTTTTGAAATTCTATAAGAACAAGAGCCATGTCAACATGGCCATCCCCCGCCGAATGTGTTTGCTCATTGGAAGAATGTATATGTAGTATAGCAAAATAATTCCATTTTAAGAGGTCTTTTGGTAATGAAAACTGATGGCTATAGTGATTACAGATTTGAAACCTATGTGAATACTGATGGCTGAAAAATAACAAAGGGCAATAACTGAAAAATAATGCAGGGTAGGTTATCATTCTTGTGTGCTGCACCCCTCCTCAGTAAAATCTATCCACCTATGAAGTTTCAAGTTGATACCTCAAATTCTTTTTGGACAAAAAAATTGAATTGAAAAATTAAGTATGAAAAATAACAAAGGGCAATAACTCAAAAAATATTAAAGGTAGAGTTATCAATTTCTGTGCACTGCACAACCTCCTGAGTGAGATCTATGCACCTATGAAGTTTCATAATGATATCTCAAAGGCTTTTTGAGTTATGCTCTGGACAAAAATTAATTTTGAAAATAACAAAGGGCAATAACTAAAAAATTATGCAGGGTAGAGTTATTATTCTTGTGCAATGCACTCCTCCTCAATGAGAACCATCCACCTATGAAGTTTCAAGTTGATACCTCAAATACTTTTTGAGATAAGCTCCGGACAAAATAGCATGAAAAAAGAACAAAGGGCAATAACTCAAAAATTGTATAGGGAAGAGTTATCATTCTTGCACACAGCATTCCTCCTCAACTTTTTTCAAGAGCGGAACGAAAAATTTGATTTTTGAAGAAATATGGTAATAAGGATTTATTTTATAATGATAAATTCAGACCTTAACGAATGTTGAAACTGTGCAAACTAGCATTTAATGTCTTTATCATTTAGTCACGAATACTCAATTTGTAAGTAAACGTAGGAAAATTACAAATCATCAAAACCATGTCAAGGATCAGTTTTGTTGCTAGTCTTAAGTACAATGATTAATTTGAGACAGAAATGGAACGTCAATCCCTGTAATCTAATTGACTACATCTATTCTTTTGTATGGTTGCAGATAATAATTGTGAAGTATCTGAAACAAGAACCAAATATCATCTTGAAACATTAATAAAGAACCAACAAATAACCATGTCAAGTAGTAATATCCTTTACAAGTATTTTCCACGGATATATGAATCAGTATGAACGTAAACTTTGTGATAAACAATTCAAAAGCTTACTGTTTATTGTTTACCATGTATTTATCAAGTAACAATAACAAATAACAGAACAGAACAGAACAGAACAGAACAGAAACTTTATTTTCTAGACTTATACAAAGTACATCGTCTTGTTAACATGAATTGAATAATATATACAACATAATCACATAAATATATGTATGGCGAGTCATTATAATAAATATAAACATAACAATTACAAGCACCAAATTCATGAGAGGATAAACTACAATTGAGAGTTCAAAATTGTATTTCTTAGCTTTAAAGCTTCTTTGATATATTTGCAAACATTTATTAATATTTTTTTTATTTTTAATACACAATAATTCAGTAAATTTAAACATAGATGGTCTGTTATAATAGTAACTTTTTATATATTTTTTACGTAAATCTACAAAACTTGAACACACACATATGAAATGATACTCATCCTCTATATCCAAAACATTACAGCACTGACAGTATCTTTGTTCACGAGGAATGTTATTAGTGGCATACCTTCCTGTTTGTATTTTGAGAGGATGAACAGATAGTCATAATCGACAAAAATACATTCTAAATTTACGTGGTAAAATGTCAAGATATTTTTCGTAACTAAGACACAATTTAAAATGTTTGTAATTACATAAAACAGAACTTCGATCTAGGATACTGGCCCATTCTTGTTTATACGTATCAATAACTCTACTTTTAAATTTTTGAAGAAACAATTTAGGATCTATATAATTATCACTATCAAAAATATCAGCAAAACCATAATCACATAACAACTTCTTCACATTTGAGACCCAATTTTTACACCCTCTTTTACAATCAATTACACCTTCTCTATACATTGTATTTAAAATGATATTATCCGAGTTTTTTCAACTTGCACCAAAATTTAATTATTCTAACATAACGGGACACATATAATGGATATCTTCCTAATTCACCATAAACAGCAGCAGAAACAGGTATTAGGTCTTACATTTAATAATCGTTTGCAAAATTTTAAATGAATTCTTTCTATTTCTTTAGATTTTGTGTACCCCCATATTTCAGATCCATATCCTAAGATTGAGCCTACAAATGCATCAAATAACTGGCATAATGTTTTTGGTTTTAAATCAAATTTCTTACAGTTATAAAATAAAACATTTAGAGCCTTTAATGCTTTCCCTATTAAATGTTCCTGATTAAGTGTGAAATTACTAGTATAGTTAAAAACAGTACCAAGGTAGTTAAAATCATTTACAATATCTAGGATTTGGCCGTCGTAGGTCCAGTGTTCTGTGGGTAGAAGTCCTCCACGCTTTCTAAAAACCATTACTTTAGTTTTAGTAGTATTTACCTTGAGACCCCAAGTATTACAATATGAATATAAAAAGATCTAAATTATTTTGAAGTTCTATTGGTGACTTGCCCACGATGGCCATATCATCAGCAAATAATAATAAAATCAAATATAACATCATCAAATGTCAAACCAGTTTCAATGTTGTCTTGCAAATAAAGTTCCAAATCCTCAACAAAGAGAGAAAATAAAATTGGAGAAATTACCTCCCTTGACGTAGGCCAATGGCATAATTGAAATAATCAGAATAACTAGAACATGACTTAAACACATGATTTTACATTTTGGTACATATCTCTAATTATTCTTAACATTTTACCTTGGATTCCTATTTTATACATTTTGAGCCATAATGCGTTTCTGTAAATACTATCAAAACATTTCATCAAATCAACAAAAACTACATATAAACGTTTATTTTGATTAAAATATTTTTGGATTAAAGACAAAAGAATAAATATAGCATCCATTGTAGAACGCCCTTTTCGAAAACCGAATTGAGCATCAGATATAATATTATTACTTTCACAAAAAGTTTCAATTCTATTATTAAGCACAGTGGTAAATAATTTTGAAAGACAGCTAACTAATGTTATGCCTCTATAATTGTTAACATCATCAGTACTACCCTTCTTATGCAAAGGTATTATAATTCCCTCAGTCCATTTCTCTGGATAAAAACCCGAATTTAAAATAGCATTAAATATATCACACAAATGCGCACCTATTATATCAAAACCTTCTATGAAATATTCATTCATTAAATAATCACTACCTAAAGATTTACCCCTTTTCAATAATTTAACAGCTTTTGAAATTTCCTCTAAAGTTATTGGCTTATCTAATTCTTCAAATGGAGTATTCAAGTCATTAAAAAGAATGGCTTTCACAAAAATTTTCCGCATCAATATTTGTGCAGTTAAATAAATCACTACTTATGCTCTCAAAATATTCCTTAAATACATGTACAGGGATACCGTTATGTTTTGAACTGGATTTACTCTTAAAATATTTGCAAAATTGTTTCGGATTACTATGCTTTAAATTTTCTAATTCAGACATTTTTTAATTGTAAAATGTTTTTTTTTTTTCTGCGCACAATATCTTTATATTTCTTTTTACAATTAATATTATTCTATTTGAATCATTAGTACATGTATTAAAAACCCGTAATGCTTCCAAGTATGTATTTCTTGCATTAATGCATTCTCTGTCAAACCATTCAGAGTTATCTAATACTGATTTATATCATTAAAATTGGAACATGTGTTAAATTTACAACATTTTCCAAATAAAGGGTCCGCTACGCTCCGAATAACAGAAGTGAAGTCATTTAATACACTATTTATAGAGTCTCTGTTTGAAAAATTAATATCATCAATAATAGTATTTAGCTCAGGTAATTTAGCTATCAGACCGCTTCGAAAATTATTGGTGTGTATACTATCCCATTTAAAAATAATCTCTGAAAAACTATCAGGTTTATTTACATTATTATTACAAAATAAAGAAAAACGCAAAGGCGCATGGTCACTCCATTCATTAATAGAATCTATGGTAAAATTGTCCACCAATGAAAAGTTACGTTCATTGGTCAGCAAATAATCAATAACCGATGCGCCTCTAACAATAATCAGAAGTAGAAGCCTTACATGTTGATAGATGTATGATTGCCATTCAATGTGTTAACTCTTTTGAAATGTTTAAAAAATCAAATTAATTATTGATTGAGTCGTATAATAGTAAAACTAGAGCATTTGTACGCATTTAACAAATTTATTAATATACTCAACATTATTTGTTGATCACCAAATGTTCAAATATGAGTATTTTCGGCAATGATTTGATTATCGTCGTATAAATTAGTTTTTTTATGTCAATTTCATGTTTAAATAATTTGGTTGAAGGACAAATTGGATTTCTTTTAATAATTATGGGTTAGTTTCGTGTAAGAGAAAGAGAAGACCTCCTATAGCCAAGACTTTTGGACACACTATTTGTTTTCCAAAATGTCACTTAATCCTACCTCATTTATGTTTTTAAATTACAGAGTTTGACCCAGTAGTGCGTGCGACCCATTGCTAAACACATTTGCTTGGCACCGCCTATGTTCCTTATGAGGTTTCTGACGTCCTAACGGGAATGGCGACCCTTTTTTTTTGCATTAACATGACCTTAAGCTCCTAAATGCTTCTATGTCGCACATTTTTACATGTCAAAGTGGCCAATGTAAAAAAGTCGGACCGTAAGGCAATGTAAGGGCAATTATGTGTAATTTAATTGTATAGAAAGCGACATTCAATTCAAAAGGATACACTTTTTTCTCCCATTCGAAAACAAATAATTATAAAGACCTTCAAAATAGAAAGAAAAAGTTTAGAGAAAAAATTCTTTGATGAGTGGATGATGTATTGGACAAAGGTCCTACTGTTATATTAATATATTACATCAAGTGTTACAATGGGACGATTAGGTCATAGACTTAAACTATCCTCAAATCCTGCAGAACAAATGTGTCTGTGACAAGTATAGATTATAGATACACCAAGAACGTGATATTAACTAGACGGTATTTTGCTGTCAGCTTCACGTGTTATTTCTTGTTTGATGTAGCGACAAAAAAAGCGGTAGTTAAGAATCTAAATCTTTGAATACAGTTTAGCATTGATCGCCAATTATTTTGATAAAAATCTTAAGATCATGTTATAAAGTAATGTTTCATGCATCAGTTACATTTATGTAGCCTGTTTGTTGCAAAATATTTTCATGGAAAGACTTATTTCCATTTTTGCAACTCGTTTCTGTGTTTAATTGTTTGGTAAAGGTATTAGAGACACTTTTTTAAAGAAAGATTGTCGTAAATAAAACACCAAGGTTACTCTGGTTACTCTTAAAAAGTCGCACACTTTTCTGCTTCTTTTTAGTTTAATATGACACTATAATAGTACAGCAAAATTAAGTTTTATATGAGTTGTTGTACTCATTAATATATGTATATAAAACACATAAGATGCATAAACGCCCTTAATACAGGAACACTCTTACAAATGATCTTGTAAATAAAAACACTTTTCTGAAAAAAATATTTGTAATGAAGGTTAAACTAGCAGTAGTAGTACTAGCAGTAGTAAGATGCATAATGAAAAAAAAATCAGCATAATTGCATTAGGGTCAATCAGTTCTAGAAAAATAAAGGTGCACCTTCAATTAAAAACATACATTTCTAATATTGTTTTCACTTGATATAACCCAGTTTATTTCATATAATTATTCATTTTAGAACTGAACATATATTTTATTTGACTTAAGCATTACGAGCTCATCATTGTGAAACAGTGACAAAATGCATATACTTGGTATGACATGTAAGACAATACATATAATTATTGAAATAATATTTCCTTAACATATATTTCATGAAAATGCAACAAACAAAGAAAAATAAATATACATAAGTTTCATAAAAAAGTAAATACAGATTGAGGAAAATATTTATTTTATTGCAATAGGAAATTCCTTATATTGTAAGCCTTGTAATAATACAGCGCCAATTTTCTTAAAATTTTCTTTATACTGGTTTGCATTTATGAAATATACTTAATAACATATGTGAGGATATAATAATACCTTGGTATATATAATCTTCTTGAATCAACATAAGCTGTACATTTTAAAACTGAGACGAGTCCCAATAGTCATATCTCTGATGATAGGTGAAGGGAACAACTTGACTACAGCTGAGTATTCAGATTTCTGGATTAAATCGATAAATTGATTGTCCAGTGATGATAAATAGCAGTGTACTTACATTCATGTATAACTCACATTTGCTTTTATGATTATTTTTTGTGCACCAGTTTAAGGCATATATAATGAAATTTAATTTTTTCCTTTTAAAAAGATGTTTCGCTGACTAAGTTTTTGTAGTATTTTTGTCTTGTCTGTATTTATTCGTTGAAAGCCTTTGTGATTATCATTTTAAAGCAAACATTTCACACAGTTAATTAAATGATCTGTTATAGGCAATATATGTCCGAAACAAAATTTTTAAAATCACATAAGGTGATTGTAAAAAACTTACAATTATTACAAAATATAAAATTATGCGGAAATCACAGTATTAGTATGCAATGTAATAAAAAGATCCGATAGTAACAAGAATAATTCTGATAAAGTCGCGAACTAGAGATGTGATGATTTCGTTTTGTAACTGTCGACTGTTAGTTTTAGAAATTTCGATAAAGTTTTTTGAAATTTCGACACAGGATTAAAGAAATCTACAGTATAAAGCCTGATAACACTTTGCAGTTTCGCCTCTGCTTTGGTCTAGGCAAGTCAACACCGCCTCTAGCATCTGTAAGAATGACGATGGTTAGGATTTGTAATTGATAGCTATTTACCAACGGATAATACTCATAGCATTATCAGAAGCGTTTATAAATATATTATAATTAAAAACAGTAGTTTGTAAAAATTAGATAAAGGAATGTTTGTGTTTTTATGCTATATAAATCATTTTGTTTTATGCCATATCAATACATTTGGGCACAGTCATGCGATTTTGGGTCTTAATGACATTTTTATCGATTTTGAGATTTTCACATCAAATTAAAGCTCATGAAATATGCTTTCCAGCGATATAATTCATATGCAAATAAATTATTATTTTTTTTCAATATGACTTATTTCACAACGTCATGTTGAAACTTATTGACGTTGTTGTTGTCGTCGCTAAATTGACGTCAATGTTTCCCATTTATCACGTCATCGTTTCCCGCTTTTCTTGCATCAGGTGTGTTCAAATGATTATACTATTTATTGACGAGGGAAAAACATATTAGGCCATATTAACTTGAAATAATGAATAAGTAAATGGTATGGTAGTGGTACATTTTATATGATTTTATTATCATGGCCAAAGAGATTTTTTTCTGAGTACGTGAGTTTGTAACATTTTTCGAAATGTTTATTCAATGGAGATGTCTGTTAAAACATCAAACGGATATAAGATTCTTGAAACAAAAAAAATAAAGTTTTATCAATCAATAATTTTTATTTCTCTATTTTAACATTTGCTTCAAATGTGTACACCACAAAACTCGTCTCTATACGCTGGTCTGACGTATGGCCGTACGGAGTTGTTCAGGTAGGTTTGCCGCCGTTGACTAAGCCCACTTGGTTGTATTGGTTCTGGTCTGACAGCCAATTCAAAACGCGAGGACTGATTCTTTAAAATAGAAATCTTTTCCTCACTTTGATCATCAGATGAAATCCGCACGGTAACAATACCTGGTTCGTCTGCAGTAAACCGGAAGTACTGATATTTCCTGAAATTAAAACTCATCATCTCATTTCTGCTAAGCAATATTAAGCTTATTATGAAAGTTATACTGATTAAATCATATTTTTTAACTCAGTTACGAGAACTTCTTTCCTATTTATATTATTCTTATCATAATTATTTCTATTATTTATTTGTAACATCATTACTACCACTATGTTAGTATTATAAGTATAATATTATTATTATTATTATTAAAGCAGTATATGTATGTTGCATCTGTTTACTACCTTATTCCTTTCACTGCTTTAAATTTTCCATCTAAGAATGACTTCCAATTTCTCCATGCCCATTGTGGAAAACGGACAGCAACATTTGTTTTTGATGATTTGTTTACAACATTTTCAAGCTGTCCAAGGGTCTCTACATCTGTTCGTCTATATACTCGCTTGATGTGGGCGAAGCCGGAATCTACTAAACATCGGGCGTGTCCTGTTTCAATATAACAAGGCTAAACATTTTAGCATGCTAATTTAAAGGTGTAAATTGCTGCACATTGTTTTCATACTAAAAAATCTTTGTCAGGTAGAAACGAGAATTTCTAGCATGTCATTTAGGCACAAAGCATTTTGAGTAAAACTAACAATGAATGTTTTAATATTCCGAAATACATAAACATTAAATATCAAGCGCCAATGTTTTTTTTTAATTCTCTGAGAGATGCCTTAGCGGTATTGTCGTGATGTCTTGGTCAAGAGAACATAGCACGTGTCTTTTATAAAAACCGCTTTCATTCATCGGGCATGGATCGCAATTTAATAACTCATGCGTACATAAAAGCGATTTTCAGCCCGATAATGTATGATAATCTGTTCCTATTTTCTTTTTGTTGAGTAAATCAAAATTAAATTATAGATTCCGTTTGATTCCGTTTAAAACGGTGCACGTAGAATCACTCGTGCGTAAAGAATATTACCAACTTACCTGGAATTTGCATTAAGTATTCTATCACTTCATTCTGACCAGTCATTACTCTCCACATAAAATAAGCAAGCACATACTTATTTTTGTTCTGCCCTGAAAAGAAAATTCACTGCTTGTTTAATAAAAGCGAGAATGAATATAACAGTATTATCGGGGTATTTTTTCATTTATAACAATAAAACAAATCTATTATCGCGCAGATTAATTAACTATATTTTTATGGAATTTTAATCAAATGCAAACTAAGCTTGAATATAAAATAAGAGTCTTATAAACCAAAAATATCAATATAAAGTTGTAATGATAATAAGAGAAGTTAGTTATTTCAGTACTGTTACATTTTTAAAGGCCCATATTATGCCTCAGATGTGCTATCAACTTTATTTCTCAAAAACTTTTTGTCGGTATCAAGTTCCAGTTTCTACAAAATACTCATTTGCTATAAAAGTTAACTATCTTTAACTTCTTTTGCTCTATTAGAATTAGTATTTGTATGGAAGTCAAAATACTACTCTTTAATATTTTGCTTCTTTTACAACACATCACTGTACACTTTGCACTACTTTTTCAGTTGTTGAACATTCAACATGCTCTAAATATATAAATTTAGCATTATTAAATATGTTTTAAATTTCTAAACAATTAAAAGAAAATAATGATTTCTGAAGTATAAATGCGCCTTTTAACAGAATAGAATGTGTATAATTTACCTGGACAATTATCAGCATGGATTGAAAACTTTCTCGCTCTGACACAATGTTCCTGTAGTGCCCAATCAACCATGGAAATAACTGCATCAGGGCCATGTGTTTTGGATCCATCCTCTCCCACTGTCTCGTTTTCATCAATCAAAAAATTCAGTTGCTTAGGGATACCGTCTATACGGAAACCAAAAATCTGTACTTTTCGCAATGTTAGAAAATACAACGGTCCCATTTGTCTGGCGTGATGTGGCAAACTCACGTTTTGGCAAAAATCAAAGGTAAAATGAAAGTATTCGTCTTCCTCAGCACTTCTTCTTAAACATGTGTTGTACGTGTCCCTCTCCTTTAAATGTAAAAAAGTTAGCAATTTCACAACTAAAGGTTTATCAAACATTCCTGTTTACTGGAATAGTATCAAATTTCATAGCTTTTAAACGTTATATTTCATTTACATAATTAAAAATCAAGAAAAAGGAGATAAACATTAAATTATTAATCTTGTTAATCAATTTTTTTACATTAATAATTCACATGTTTTAATTAATATTTTTAATGTATAATAAACTAGTACTCACCCTTTGAGCTAAAAGAATGTGTTGTCGCATATTAGCTAAGGCCTCCAGCTTGTCTTCCTCTGACACTGCGTCTGATATCATCTTTCTCATTCGCTCGCACGTAGCGCAGACGTCATCTCTTGGTGTTGCTATTCTGATGTGAGGCGTGCACGTGGACCAGAGAGTTTTGAACATAGAAAGCGAGACGTGCTTGATTTGTGGAATGGCTTCAGTACAAGTAATACAGTAATCCTTGTGCATCTGAACCTTTGTTGTATCGGACGGTAAATAAATTGGCGGAATATCATCTCGTCCCCTTGGTGCGGCAGGCTGGTGTATTCCTCTTTCATCAGCAAAGTTACTTATAAAATGTATAACTCTTGTAACGTCGTCAAAGGTTATAGCATTATGGGGTTTTCTGCCAGTATTTCCATGTAATGTAAATTTCCTTTGTTTCTTTTTCCATCTCTTTCATATTAAGTAGGTACTGATATATCTGATCTTCAGTGAATTTTCCGCTACACGCTAACCTACAACATTTACTAGATTTATAAAGTGTAACCTGCTTGCGGTCAGAATCTGGTTCAACATAATCATCACAGACTTCATCTTCATCGGACCATTCAAGCTCTTCATCCCTTTCAATGTCTTCCGAACAACCATTTGCACCAGTACTTGCGCCTCTATCCTGGTAAAGGAAGTCTCGCACCCGGCTCTCCACTATATTATTTTCCCTGATGTCTTGGTCAGAACCGCTGTCGCTTAACATCTTCCTGGGTATTACAGGGTGTAGTCAACGGTGTTCTGCCAAAATGCTCCGATAAAAGGCTCTCTAGTTCCTGAAAATAAAACACAAATGATATACTAATCCTACCTCTTTTATTAAACATATATGATTATTGAATAGAAAAATTAAATGCACAATCTTAAAATTTGATATTTTACTGTTGAACTGCTTGCTATTTGTTTAATCAGCATGTGAATATAATATAAAAAATGCCTAAAAAAATAAATGTACGGCAGGTTTTGAACCTCAACCGCCCGCACGAAAGGCGAACGGCGTAACCGTTTAGCTACAGAGGCATTAACATTCTTTCAAGAAAAAATATTATATTTATACAATAGCAGTGTTTAAACTGAAACAGCGCGGTCCCAGACGACAGTTTTTAGTTTACACAATAATTGCAGCTATTTAACAAATTAGTTATCACATGTATAATGTACATGTACAATCCATATAACAAAGTTTAAGGGTTCATGTTTTTGTGAACATCTTATTCATGTAGACGACATCTAGGATTAGGCTCGCAAAGCCGTAAATAATTGTTTTTCTCTAAATTTATTAGATAACAAATAAACATAGCTCTAGAGAAAAAGATGAATGTCGAAACATTCATGCTAGTCTATACCTAAACCATGATAAACTTTTAATCGTTGAAAAGGGCAACAGATGTGAAAAGGGATTCATGTATTCTACTTTCGTTTTCAATTACCGACTGACCTTCAAAACATTTTTAAGATTTCTACATTCAAATGAAATCAGTTTCAAAACATAACATAGATTGTTTAAAAAAATACGAATAAAGAAACTTACCTCTAGCTCTTCGGCCATTTTACGCCATGAAAATACGTGTAACCTGTCGATAATAATCGTAAACAAAACTTCTAGATTAACATGTGTAATTTCGCACTTTTCTTCCGGTATGACTTTTGACGTCATTTATGACGTTTGCGCATTATGTCATTAAGACCCCAAATCGCATGACGGTGCTCATTTATTTCTATGACGAATACTTCTTTTTCTATATAAAATGTTGTGTTATTGTCTGTGAATTATCACTGTATACTGTTTCGTTATTTTTGAAAATAATTTTGATTTGTAAAGAAATATACAAGTTTGTTAATAACTTTATTAAGCTATCGTTTTTTACAATATATCTTTATTTTATATAGTCTTGAATTGTCTTGATGGTATTGGTTTAAATGTTTTCAATCTAAGCTGGTTGTATATTGGTTGTTAATAAACACTGGAAATTGCTGTCACCAGTTATGTTGTTTATTACAACCCCAGTGTTTATTTTGAGATTTGACTGTGACCTTTTCACCAGCCCCCCCCCCACCCCAAAAAAATGTTTATCGGTGAAGTAACTCTGAGGTATGTTGAGTAACAGTGTTGAACAAATGCAAAACGTCTTTGGATGATGTTGATGTCCTATAGTTTATATATAGTCAGTTAGTTACTCGATTCAAAGTGGCATAGAGCTGGATGTTAGGTCAAGAAGTCATTGGTACAAAAGTGTCAAATTTATTATCCCTTGTCCTAGACGAATAATTTTGAAGTTACTGACCTTACTGTTCTTTTCCCTCCTGCTTGATTTTAGTCCTGGGTATAAGTCATAAAGTATTGGAGATATCAATGTAAAATTTCATTGCTGCATTTATGTCAATTATGAGAACCACACTGTTTAAGAACCGTAAATCTCATATATATATGTTTGGAGTTATTGCCCTTTGTATTTTAATCTCGAAACAAAACCGAAGTATTAAGAGATATCAAGTTGTAATATCATTAATTCAGAAAAACTATACTGTCCAACTACCATTATACATGTAATTTTCTTTTGCATAATTTAAAGTAAATTTCTGGAAACAAAACTAAAGTTATATTGTAGATATCAATTTGAAACTTCACACGTTGATAGATGTCATTACGGAAAAAGTCGATTGTCCAAGAACCATAATTTTCTTTTGCATGATTTTAGACTAATGCCACTGATAAGCTGTGCAATGCAAAAATATACAACATACAACGTAGTTACTATTCACATCGACATGGGGTATCATTCAATGCATTTGGCTGGTGATCCGTAGTCCCTTGACGTCAACAGAATATACTTTCATTTTGTTTCACTCTAAGTCACCATTTGGCTATAGAAATAGATCGCATTTATGCACACTATATATACTAACTCATTCACAAACTAAATAATCTTGGTCATTAATTGAAAGTCATGTCATTCAGATATTTTTATCTTTATCTCGCTCAAATTCTTAAATGAACTTTTTCATTCTTCAATCTGGACAAGCTCTTCATATTTTTTTTTCAGGGAAATTTCAAAATAACTAGTAACCGAATATCTATAGCGAACTGTGTAGACATGATCAGACAGCAGTGATTTGTTACTAATTCTGGTCTGCACTGATTGCATGGAAGCTATATCCGCCGCCGCTAGCCGACTAAGGGTAAAAACTATGGCATTCAAAAGCATGTGTGTTATTCCATGAGGTGACCTGCTGAAATAATTGATTTAAGACCTCTTAACAATATTTATGGCATTATATTTAATAATTATATGAATTGAATTTGTCGAACGTATTCAGTACCGACATATGGAACCTAAATTTCATTTTTTCTCCGTATACATAATTTACTAACTAGTCAACATTGGCTTCCGTTCGGTGAACACCTTTCAAAAATTCATACCTTTTTCTATAAGTTCTTAATAATCAAGAGCAAGCATAAATATTATTGTTTTACAAATTTGTGAATGACTCCACCAATTACATAACATCTAGTCTGTATTCCATGTCATGGACTGGCCGCTAATGTGATAAGTTTCGTTAACAGATTCAATAAGAGTTATTTCCCTTTGACCATTAAGAGTTCATGTATGCGTTTTTTGGAGAGAATGAAAACACGGACAATCTGTCGTCTGAACTAAAAAATACTGGATATTCATGCTTCCATGTTTTACTCAAGTTGTATTTACACAATCGAAAATGAAAACTAAGAAGATGTATACTGTCTTTCTCTTTATATTACAAACAAATTATTCGGAAAGACCTTCAAAAATATAACAAGTAAATCTGGTAATACCTCTAATGATTTCTCTGACAAATATCCAAAGGAGACGCAGAAGGACATCTATAATGTAGACGTAAAACGTTAATTAATGCGTCTGTTGCAAAGTATGTTTCTGCACAATGTTAAAACACTAAAGCGTGTCTTTGACGAGACGATATTCTGTTTTCAGCTGCACGTGTAATTACTACTTTTATCTTAACAAAGAATTGATTGTCTTACAGCGACAAAACAGATGCAGTTTAAAGCCTAAAGCTAAGAAAACTGTCTTTTGTTGGTCGTAACAATCTTTAGATCATGTAATAAAATAAAGGAATACATTATAACATCATTACAAATACTCCTCAAGCATGGCATAGATGTTAGAAATGCAAGCATTTTGGGCTGTATAAATACCTCTTCAATGGTGTTTTTTTTTAATTTTGGCGTTATTACTCTATTAGTTTAAGATAAGAGCGATTTCGTTGTTGTTGTTTGTTTTTCAAATAAGATAATTGTCCAATTATCCTGAATTAATGTTTATAGAACTTTGACAATTTGTCTTTTAATCGCTGTAGCCACAGGTCTGTATTACTTAAACTAATAGCTATCCATGTGATCTTGTCCTCCTAATTTATTATTTTACTTATTAAAATGCATTGGTATTATGGATTAGAATTATCAAAATGTTTTTAAGTATTTCTTATTAAGACCTGGAATATTGATGTCAGTAAAATCGTTTTTGAAATTCTATAAGAACAAGAGCCATGTCAACATGGCCATCCCCCGCCGAATGTGTTTGCTCATTGGAAGAATGTATATGTAGTATAGCAGAATAATTCCATTTTAAGAGGTCTTTTGGTAATGAAAACTGATGGCTATAGTGATTACAGATTTCAAACCTATGTGAATACTGATGGCTGAAAATAACAAAGGGCAATAACTGAAAAATAATGCAGGGTAGGTTATCATTCTTGTGTGCTGCGTCCCTCCTCAGTAAAATCTATCCACCTATGAAGTTTCAAGTTGATACCTCAAATTCTTTTTGACAAAAAAATTGAATTGAAAAATAAGTATGAAAAATAACAAAGGGCAATAACTCAAAAATATGAAAGGTAGAGTTATCATTCTTGTGCACTGCACACCTCCTGAGTGAGATCTATGCACCTATGAAGTTTCATAATGATATCTCAAAGGCTTTTTGAGTTATGCTCTGGACAAAAATTAATTTTGAAAAATAACAAAGGGCAATTACTCAAAAATTATGCAGGGTAGAGTTATTATTCTTGTGCAATGCACTCCTCCTCAATGAGATCCATCCACCTATGAAGTTTCAAGTTGATACCTCAAATACTTTTTGAGATAAGCTCCGGACAAAATAGCATGAAAAAAAAACAAAGGGCAATAACTCAAAAATTGTATAGGGAAGAGTTATCATTCTTGCACACAGCATTCCTCCTCAATAAGATCTATCCACCTATGACATTTCATGTTGATATCTCAAACACTTTTTGAGTTATGCTCCACTCAAGTGAAAAATTAAGTATGAAAAATAACAAAGGGCAATAACTCAAAAATTATGAAAG